CAGCCCCCCCCAGACACACACAGGGCACTAGTGCCAGGGTTCACACACACAGCCCCTAAGTGTACATGTAACTCACACACCTCCTGGGTGTGGTGTTCTGTCCCATCTAGTGGCACCAAGACCACGTAGAGAGAGATTAATTAATCTGCTCTACAGCCTTAGCTAAGGGCCACATGGCTTTTAGCTCATGCAGTAGAGGCTCATGCACTAAGCTCCAGAGGCCCTAGGTTCAATCCCGCCCGCCAGCGACCGCGGTCTGTCGGCGTTACACACACAGGGCACTAGGGCCAAAGTTCACACTCCCAGCCCCCAGGTACAGACAGGGCACTAGTGCCAAGATTCACACTCAGCTCCAGACACACACAGGGCACTAGTGCCAGGGTTCACACTCATAGCTCCAGACACACACAGGGCATTAGTGCCAGGGTTCACACTCTCAGACCCCAGGTGTACACAGGGCACTAGTGCCAGGGTTCACACTAGCAGTACTGGATGGATGACAGTACAAGACTGGGACCCATGACTTATAGGTGCCATCCCCACCTGTGCCAATGAATTGCTGGGCAGCCTAGGGGTTCCCCTCCTGTCTTGGGGAAGTTGCCCCACCTGTAATGTGAGGTAGCGCTAGGTGCCCCTGATGGGATGGGAAGGTCACAGGACAGCAAAATGTTTTGAGACTCTTGGGTGTCAGGCCCTGGAGAAGGCAACTCCAGTGGATCTCTGCTGCACTGCCAGGCGCTTGCATGCCCAGGTCCGCAGCCCTCGGCCCGCACAGCTAGCACAGCGCCTGCCTAATGTGGAGCACATTACACTGAGCCTCGGCAGGCTTTGGAATTGGTTCCAGATTCCAGACCAGCTGATCTCACTTTGCGTGGAATTCGGAGCCTGATAACACGTTCCCCCAGCCAAAGGCACTCATTCCAGTCCTCGCTCTCCTGTCTCCCCATCCGTCTGTCTGTCTGTTCCTCTCACTCCCCTGGCCTGGCCCTGCCCCACTTTCCCTTCGCGGAGGCTGCGCTATTGGCTGGGATGAATGACAGGGCTCTGACCTTTTCAAACAGGGATTAGAGCCCTGGCTCCCGCCCCGCTCGCCTCCCGCTGGCTCGGAAAAACAAATCCCAGATAATTCCTTGTTTAAAAACAAACGCAAAGTGTCCGTGCGGCCCCTCCCTGTCCTGCACTGCAGGCCAACGCCAGCCCCAGCCCCAGCTGCTGCAAACGTCTGCCAGGGGGAGCTCCCCAGACTGGGGCGCAGCTGGGATGCCAGTGCTGCGAGGTTCCCCACAGCAGTGCCTGGTCCAGGCCACAGACTCACTCCGAGGGCCAACGTCAGCCCTGCTGTACATGGCAGAACTGCACTGATGTTTGCACCAGCCTGCAGCTTGGCCCTGTGAGCCATGTACTGCGATGTGCTACAGGAAGGGACAGCATGGCAAGGGGAACTCGCCTCCTGCCCACTCCATCCCTGGCTGCTGAGAGGAGTGGGGGAGCTGAGGTGGGAGCAGCTTGTGTCTGGCTGGGGGCCTCGAGGGGCTTCAGGATTCCCCATCAGTAAGCCGTGCAGCCCTGGCCCTGGAGAGCTGTCCGAGGGCAGTCCCAGTCTGCTGCCCCTGCCTGCTGGGAGAGAGGGGAAGGGGGGCAGACTCACTCTAGGGGAAAGGGAGACACAGCCCCAGACAGAATCCTGGGGGAACCAACGGCTCCTCAGGTCCCTCTCTGGGCTAGTCACCAACAGGGCTCCACACACTGTCTGCCTGGTGCTGGCCCTGCCCGGGGACATGGGCTCCTTTTGGGTCCGAAGATTCCCTCTCCCCGGGACTGTGTCACCACATGATGACGGGTGCGCGCCCTCTCCCCAGCGGATTCTGTCCCGTGGGGGGCAGCGTGAGGATAGTGCAGTTGTGGCCCCTGCCTGCACGGCTCATTGCTGCCAAGCTGGTTATTGTGTCGGCGGGAGCTCTGCGCACCGGGCAGTGGTTATCTGGCACGGCTGCCAGCGTGACACGGGGCTGAGGGCGTGTGGCTGCCCCAGAGCTCAGGGGAGCCGCAGGACTGCTGCTGGGAGGAATGGTCTCACACGGCGGCTGGGAAGAGGACATTCCTCGGCAGGACTCAAGCCAGGGGCTCCATTTGCCCCTCCAGAGAGGTCAGAGGAGGTAAAAGTCTGAGCCTTTGGCCCCCAGTAAATTCTTTGGTGCTGAGTCAATCCAGCCCAGCCTCCCTGCAGAGTTTGGGTTCCCAGGAAGAGCAGTCTGAGAAGGCCGGGTGTGAGGAGAGGAGCCGGCAGTCAGCGGGGGCACGACCTCGACGGCGCCCATTGGCAGGAGCTGGCCCTGTGCTGGTGCCGCTTGGTGCAGCACCTGGCACCATCACACACGTGACAGGAGCCTTCCTGGAGCCACGGCTGATGCATGTCTCTGCCCAACCTGGGGTGGAAGGCTGGAAGCAGGGCATCCTTCCTCCTAGGTCTAGTTCTCCTTTGCCCCAGTGCCAGCTCCTAATTGGCGTCACTCCCCAGCACCAAGGGAAGGTCCCCTGTTAACTCAGGACTTGTCACCGGGACAGGCATGTTCTGTGCAGACCTGCTTGTGTTCGGGGCCTCAGCCAAGCTTCCCAGCTGCTGGGCAAAGGGCTTCTAAGGAGACTCTCGATCCTTTGGGCTGGCACCATCCATCAGGCTTCTATGTCTCTCATGGGGCCCTGCTACCTTCAGCGTTATCTCCCACTCAGCCCTCCTCACCAGCTGTTCACTGATTGGCTGTCACAGAGCTTTCCATTTCTCCCGAGTCTGCCCTCCCCAGACAGGGCTGAGTGAGGAGTGTGCCAACCTCCCCTGGATCTTGGCAAAGCTCACCGTGGCCTGTTGTGCTGCTGGGCGGGGGGCCATTGCCTTGCTCGGCAGGAGGGTATTGGAATCAGGGCCGGCTCTAACTTTTTTGCCGCCTCAAGCGAAAAAAAAGAGTGCCGCCCTCCATAGCACCGCCATAACACACCCCCTCAGCACCGTGCCGCCACCCCCCCACGCGTAGCGCCGCACTGCCGAACCCCCCCAGCGCCGTGCTGCCAACCCCCCCCAGCCCCCCGCAGAGCGCTGCGCCACTGAACACGCCAGCCCCCCGCGGAGCGCCGCCAAACCACCCCCCCCC